AAAAAAAAAAAAAAAAAAAAAAAAAAAAAAAAAAAAAAAAAAAAAAAAAAAAAAAGAGGGGATGAAAAATAACGAAAAGAGGAAAAAAATTAAAAAGGAAAAAAGGTGAATAGAAAAACAAAAAGAAAGAAAAGGGGGCGGAAGGGAATAAGAAAATAGAAAACTAAAAGGGAAGAGGTAAAAGAAATAACGAAAAAGAAAAGCAAAAAAAAAAAGAAAGAAAAAAAAAGAGGAGAAAGGAAAAGGAAAATATAACAAAACAAAAGTGGAAAAAACCGAAGGAAAATAAAAGAATCTGAGAAAGGAAAAAAGGGAAAATAACGGGGGGAAAGGAAAATAGGGGAGAAAAAAGATAAAGAGGGGGGAGAAGCCCTCAGTTCCCCACCCTGGGCATTCTCCGCGCCCCAAGCAGGGCAGGGGACGCGCAGCGCTGCGTGGGTCCTTGCGGTGCCCGGAATTGCTCCGGGGCCGCAGAGCACGGACGAGGCTTCCCCGGGGTGGGGTCCGGCCCCTCCGCCCCCCGACAGCCCCGGCGARCTCCCGGCCCCCGGACAGGCTCTCTCTCCGCCGGAGCGGGGTTTGGTCGCCACACGGCTCGCGGGTCGCTATTTGGGGTACAAGCGGGCGGTGGAAGCTCAGCCCGAGTTTCAGGCCTCGCTCCGTTTCCCTTTCCCCCCAGTTTTCCCGGTTTTCTCCTCCGGCCGGATCTCCGGGACGCGCCGGTCTCCCCGTGATGGAGGGAGCCCCCTGAGCCAGGCGGTGACTTCCTCCCGTCCCCTATTGACTGTAGGGCTTAGGCGGCAGCGCTGTGGGTTTTTCGGGGCTTCTCGAGGAGCCGCTCAAGGGGAAGCTAAGCCAATATTTACCGACCATGAGGGCAATTCTCGGCGGTGTTTATTAAGGAGCCGGGGGGGGGGAGGGGGCGAAAGGGCTGCGGGGAAAGCCCCGGGGGGCGGCCCCGCGACGGTGCTGGAGGGCGAAAAGCGACCCGGGCGATGCTCCGGAAGATTTGCGCGGGCTACCCCGCGTTACCCCAGCCCAGAATCACCCCAATCTCACTGAAAAGCACCCCTGGAGAGSCTTCTTGCTTTGCATAAGGGGATGGGGTTGATTTTTTTTACTGAGGGACGTGTTTTCTGCGGACCCCCGAGCCMGCGGAGCGGCCGCGGGGAGGCAGCAGAGCCCCGCGCAGGCCGGAGCAGGACGGGGGGAGGCTGCGCTGCCCCTCCGCGCCCCCGGGGATGGCAGAGGGGGGTCCCCGAGGCGCTGGGTCCCTGTCCCCAAACCCTCCCCCCCACTGCCGCCAGGATGGCCGCGCGGCGGCGCTGCTGGATAAGGGACGCGCGGTCGGGGCCGCCCCCCGGGACCCCCGAGGGGAGGGGACCCTCACAGCCGCGCGGTGACACGGAAAAGAGGGACGGGCCGGGGGGTGGATGGGGAGAGCCTCGGGAGGCAGGGGACAGCCTCCTCCAGCACCYGCCTCGCCCCGCTGCGGGTGGAGCGGCCTCAGCCCTAAATCGAGGGCCCGGGGAACACGACTTTGAAATCAKGCACGGAGCTCAAGGCGTGACGAGATCTGTCCCCTGATGCCCATGGGGGGCAGGACACCTTGGGAGTAGGGACTCGTGCCATTCTTTCTGCCCCCAGCAGCCCCCCAGGAACCCATCTCTGGGACAAACAAGGTGTCCCCAAATGCCGGGCAGGGTTTGGTGCTCTGCAGTCGCCCTTCCCACACCAGAAGAACAAGCAAACCCACGGGCGAGGACAGCGTGGAGCTTCGGAGAGCTGGAGAGGAYGAGGCAGCGCACCCGCGGCTTCGTCCCAGCGCTGCCACCCCACGCAAAGCCAGGGGACGGTGACAGCTCCCTCCCAGCARTGGGGACACTGGGGACACTGCAGCCTGCACACCCAGAGGGTACGGAGCACCTGGGCATGAGCCTCGGACARCCCTGTGCTTCTCTCTCACCGGGTGATGCCTCACTAAATTTTGGGTTTAATTCAGTGCTGGCGAATCGACTGCACTAATTAATGGTAATTATATAGAAAATCAGGGACTCTGATAAGAGAGACACAGGAGAGACCCCTCCT